GTAGCAGACACGACACGACGGATCTTCAACAGACACGATATTGGACAGTATGCGGGCCCACATCATGGAAGAGGAGGACTTCGATGGTTTCAGTGCGCCGGAGGCAGATGAATGAGACGTTTTGTTGGACCAGAAACTGTTAAAGAAAACTACCAAAATAAGGTCAGTTAAATGAACCGTATTCCTCCGAACTTTAATTCCTAAAGGTTTGCTTTTTATGTTTTGATGCTGAATTCACTTTTTTGACGGCAAATTTGGGTGCACTGTTTTTTTTATGTTGGGGGTGCGGCTTATAGTCCGGTGCAGCTTATAGTCCAAAAAATACGGTACTTTTAAGTTTATCCTGCTGTGTTCGCTTCAAAAATGGTTTTGTTGTAAGAGATTTAACTGTGTTGTTTAGCTTCTCCATTTATTTACTGTTTCTTTTCAGGACCTGCCCTGCTGTTCAACCCACCGTTATGCAAATCATGTTCTGGATGCAGGTCAGCTGATCCCAGAAACTCTGTGTTCAGCAGCTTCATATCATCGGTTTACTGAACTTTATGACAACATATAGGCTGTTGTTAAGTGTGTTGGGTGACCATAATGTTATAGTAAATTAAAGCTGCTGTTTGTAGTTTCTGGAAAACCCTGGACTTAGAAAATATTTGTAAAGACACAACATTCAAGTCCCTCCCCCCTGCTCTGTTAAGCTTCAGCCCACCTTCCTAAGCTCCTCCCACACGGCCCAGCTCTGAGTTTGGAGAGCGCATGCTTGTAAACATGAGTGTTTGGCGAGTGTGGGGATGAGTGTGGGGCGAGCCACAGATGAACAGAGCTGAGTGAAACTATGCTGCAGTCACAGGTAAGAACGAATCATCAACAATATATTTTAATTATCATGTCTTGCCCATATCTATCTAAGTGCTCCTCAAATTATGTATTTTGTCATAATGCTACATGTAAATTATGTTGCACTCTTTCTATAGGTTATAAATAGCTAGCAAGCTAACATAACACTATAGCTGCAGATTAGCATTGTGTAATATAAGTTGATGTGTAATTTATATACACAAAATGGAAATTAATTATTTAAAAATCATACATTGTATTTTTCTGGATTTTTGTTTTAGATTCCATCACTCACAGTTGAAGAGTACCTATGATAAAAATTACAGTCATCTACAAGCTTTGCAAGTGGGAAAACCTGAAAAATCAACAGTGTATCAAATACTTGTTCTCCCCACTGTATACCACAGGTCTGGACCACTCGTGAATTTTGTTCGTATCTGAAGAAAATCGTAGAATATAAAAAAATTGGTGAATGCCACAAATTTTCGTAAATCAACTGTACGCACAACTTAAGAACAAATCTGTTCGTACGAACGGTTCTTGTGTGAGGCCCACTGGTTTTAAATAGCAGAGTCCCGGGTAGCTTGGGGGCAAAGTGTGGAAGAGACAAGGGCTGCTCACTTAGGACAGGAGCTGTTGAATGATGATCGGTGCTTTCACTCCGACTCTTCTGACCTCAAAATCCATGAGAAAGACCTGCCTGCTCTGCTCTGATTCAATCAAACTGTGGCTCTGCTTCATTTGATTTGTTGTAAGCAGAAGTTTAATCAAGGATCAGTAGATTAGACAGATTTAATAAGACCACAGCAGAAAATAAAGTTTGGTTTTGTATTTTCTTCATTTTTAAAGATGACAGAAATCTGTGGTGGTGGAGCAACATGTTCAGTGGAGAAGCTCTGATCTGATTCATTTCAACTTAGAGACTTTGTTGACTTCAACTAAATATGGCCCAAAAGTCAAAGTTAGAAAAACCAAAAGTTCATTTCTTTTTTCCAGTAGCAAACATTAAAACTCAGCAGTGATGAAAGAATTCTTTCTCCATCTGTAAATAAGTCAGGAAAATGTTTTCGTCTTACTGCTCTGCAGACGCTCAGCCAGCTCCTCCTGCTTCATCTTCCTCAGGAAATGTAGCGTGATCATCAGAAAGGCTTCTCTGCTGCTCCTCTTCTCATCTTCATCACCATCTAAAGCCTCTTCATCTGCCATTTGACTCTCGAAGCTTAGAGAAGGATTTGAACTAAGAAGCTTCTGGATCTTCTTCAGCTCCTTCTTCACAAAAGAGACKATGRTSTCCTCCAGCAGCTGTGAATGAGACAAACACATGATGGAGARAAACTAAGCTAAGCTAGCTGCTGTGTCTCCTGGTCCCTGCTGGACACGTACGCACCAGAAACACGGAGTCCAGCTGGGTGTGATGCTGCTGCTGGGAGGACTGGGAGCTGGGAACCTGGGAGCTCTGCTGCTCCATGTTTACTGCTGAGCCTCTGAGCGCTCCCTCCTAAAGGACACACAGCTGGGTTCTGGTCCAGGTCCAGGTGTCTCCTGTGAATACAGTCAGAGTGTTGATGCTGAGCTGTGACGTGGAGCAGAGTGGTGGACAGGTACAGGTGGTCTCTCAGCTCWGAGTGGTGCTCAAGCAGCAGACACACAGACGACAACAGAAAAGTTTCTTCTAAATGACAGACAGCAGAGGGCTTTTCTCTCACTCTTTGTGACACAAACACAATTCAGCTTGGAATTAGGGCTGCCACAAACGATTATTTTAATAATCGATTAGTCATCGATTATTTTTTCGATTAATCGACTAATCGGATCATACGTTAACTGAATATAGAACATACTGCTTATCGCACGAGAATGCACCTGCTAATATTGTATATAACCATCATGAGATTTCAGGTATATACTAACTAAAAATAAAGACAATTAAGATCATAGTTCAGTAAACCTTTAATTAAATGTGCAGTTTGTTGCAACAATTTTTGAACAGTGTAACATAGTGTAAACCACTGAGTAAAATAAATATAAGGCACTGGCTTTAACGACACAAAAATAAATACATTAATTTAAAAAAAAAAAGTTTAGGTTTTTCTGGCCTTCATATGCC